GTGCTATACATATTGAGGCTTCCGGTGATTCGTTATTAGTAGTGCAACAAATATCCAAGGCTTATCAATGTTTTGACGGATCACTTATAGTTTATCTTTTGGTATGTCTAGATGCAAGATTTACCTTGGGTTGCTTTGAAATTGTTCATATATCTAGGCATGATAATTCAAAAGAGTTGGCACAGCAAGCGTCCGGCTACTATGTTAACCATGGTGTATTGCATTTCTATCAATAGCCGATGCTAGGTCTTGTCAACATAGGTAAGGCTGAATCGAAGCCCACCGCTTCGGCCACTAATGAAACTTTTATGCAGGCGAAGTAAGGATTGAAGGAAGTTCATTCTTGATTATCTGCAAAATCCTAGCGAAAGGGTGAACAATATGGTTCGGAGGATGGTTTTGATCTATGAAACCTTATCACCGGATTGTTATAGAAGCTGAGAAGTTTTCACCCAAGTTTGCATCAAGAGGTTCAAACAAGCAATGGCCGATATATACTTGTCGTCCTAAGAACATGCAAAATGGCCGATGGAGTGTTGACATCGTCCTTAGAACAAGCTATGTGGAAGTTATTTTTCGGCACACAAACTTTGCCGAAAAACAGGGGGGCATGTGTTGACACCAGATTTTGGCACGGTCAATAACTTATTTAAGATGGCCTCAAATGAAGAAGTGATATTCATGAAAGAGTTCCGTATTGTCGATATGAACATCTTTGAAGTTTGGGTCATCGCAGTCCGATTTCATCTCGAAGGCCGAAACTATGCTCAAAGTACTAAGATCTTATATTCAGAATATAGTTTGGCTGATTAAGCCCCCAAGACGACCTCAAATGGAAAATTTATCTACACGGATTGTCTTCGTCTCATCGAAACGATCGATTTTGATATAAAAATCATTCCAATCCGAGTTCGTATGCAAAAGTTAGAGCCATCGGAATACAGCCCTGTCAAGAGGCAAAAACTGGCGTGCCCCACCAGACACCCTGTCTGATGGGTAGCGCGAGGGATAACCTGTTTTGGGCGACCGATTTGACCCTCAAGATTACCTCGGACCAAAAAACGTTCAACATAAAAGTTGTTCGTCTCGTCGAAACGGTCAAGATTGCTTTTGGGCTCGTTTCCATCCGAGATCGTTTACCACCACAAAAAAGACCCGCAAGGTGCAGCCAGTTTAAACCGAACAGTTTTGAAAAGTTCGGACAAAATCAATCCGAATTTGACTAGGGTTTTGGACGTGAATCCAAGCCTTTTCCTTGCACGGGAAGTCCAGCCGCCTCTTATATACCTAAGGGGTGACGGCTGATTGAACAACACACAATTGAACAAATCTATCTACATCTTTTACCTTTACTTTTTCTTCTCCCTAGTTCTTCTTCTTCCTCGTTCTTCGTTCGTTCTTCTTTTGCAGGGCGGCGAACCTCGAGGCCCTAGGGGCGGTCAGGCCGACCTAGGGCAGCCCATAGCCGCCGCGCGCCCTGACGGGGTCCCTCCCGGGCGTGTGGGGTTTCGGGTGTACAAAAGCGCCCGCCAAATTGTCTTGCGTACCGCGCTTCCGGCGGGTCTCCTTCGACGTGAGCTGCGGTGCATCACCCCCGGCGTCGAGGGTACACGGTGACGTGTTCGTGTGCGAACAGGTATTTGACAGTGTCATCCGGGAGCAAGGTGGTGAAGATAATCGTGGCGACGGGTAATACAATGAACCATCAAATGGTGATGCCGAGCCAATGGTATAGAGGCAGAGGTGACTCAAGAAATTTTGAGCAATTGAGGTATTGCAGACTTCCTATTGCATCCAATTTTTGTGTGTCCAACCATAGGTTTCATAATATGCAATTTGTTTTACTTGGTTAGAAATAATAGTTTCTCTAATGACTAAAAATAACAAAAACAACTGTTCTTTCTTTTTTCTTAGAGAAAAACTTTGGATCTATTCATCATTGTCATGGCAGTACAATGCAGCGTGTGGGATCGACCACAATCTAAGCCATCTAAGTCCAGGTTCATATATACATATGCATCATATCCACTCGATCGTGTTCGTTTGCACCATTTCCCTATCATCACGAACCCTTTTTACCTGCCAACCAATCATCGCCGTCTAGCTAAGTGATCAATGAAGTGCTCAAGTTGCCCAATGAGGCCCGTCCGCTCAGAAAAGCTACACGAATGCACGATGCGCTCGTGCGAGCTCGGGGCTAGGAGGATGGCCACCCTAGCTAGTGTACTAGTGCTCAACGATACAACGTATTATATGCGTAACAGAAGCTATGACAACCTCGAACCAAGTAGCACAAGAGTGGCAGCCGGTTAGCAGCAATCGTCCCCGTGATCACCTCAACTAACTATGAGAATGAGAGAACCTAGCCTAGTGGCACAAATCTTGCGTGCCCATCCAGCCTAGTGGCATGAACCTTGCATTGCATGCGCATCAGAGATCTCTCCTAGCCCTAGCATCATGTCGAGTGGCTAAGATCGTGACAACAGTGCAAGGCCGAAGCCAATGCGGAGCTGCAATGCAGAGCAGGTAGATAAGGAGAAGGCGGTCCTGATGGAGTATGATTGATGACATATATGGCTAGTATAAATCAATGTCAACAATCGTTAAATCCAAAAAACAAGTTAACAATTCGCAACTGTCGACCATTTCTAGCCCACATATACAAGAGCATCCACAATCGGACTTCTCAAACGCTCCCTATACGCCTAGATGGATGGTTCGGTTAATGACCAGTCATGAAATCGCGACCCAGCCGCGCCCCTCGTATTGGCTTTATACGTTCGGGTTGACCGGCACCCTCTTATTCACTCATATCTGGGGCAGATATGAGGAAGTCCGAACGCGCTCGGGCGCGTTGGCCATGGAGGATCCGGCCCAGGCACGCCGACCCCGCATATATTCAACTGTCGGATATATGCAAGAGCATCTACGACCATTTTCAAATGTCGAACCATTTCTAGCCCACATATATACAAGAGCATCTACGACCGAACTCCTCAAACGCTCCTATACGCCCAAACGGATGGTTCGGTTAATGACCAGTCAATATAATCGCGAGCAAGCCGCATCTCTAATACCGGCCTTATACGTCCGGGCTGACCGTCACCCCTTATATTCAGCTCATATCTGGGACGGATATGAGGAAGCACAAACGCGCTCGAGCACGTCTGTCATGGCAGATCCGGCCCAGGCTGGCCCACCCCGACCCTGCATATATTCGTCCTTATCCACATCCTGGAGGAAACTCTAGCCACTCCACTCCATCTCCAAGCTTTGTTCCGGCGACCTTCGGCCTTCTCCGGCATGAGCGGCAGCGGATCCGACTCTGAGACCTCCCTATCCATCGACTGGGACCTAATCCTATGCGGGGACAAGGAGATGGCCACCTGCATGGCTCTCCACCGCTCCCGGGTGGAGTGCGCCCGACCGCAGTCGAACTCGATTCGGGGGGAACCCATTTCGTCCCGCAAATGGCGCTTGAATCTGCCGATCTAGTGGCTCGAGGCGCATGACCGCGGTCTCATCAGACGCGGTGACCACCATCTGGCGAAGCAACCCCGGGGTGGTGGTGCAACCCCTTCGGTGGCGCGTCGTCCCCGCGGCATCAGACTCCGAGTTGGAGATAAACGCCGGCAATGCCTTACGGCCCGTCAGCTGCGGCGAGGTGTGCTCGCAATGCGAGGCAGGGGGTGGAGGTTGCGACAACCCTCGAGGCCAAGGCCGCGGAGGCGGAGTCCTCGCCGCAACGGTGTCCGGCACCCCGTGGCTCCGAACAACCGCGGGGTGGCAGCATCGAGCTCCGACCACGATGTCGACCCATCCACACCTATCGCGGACCTCACCTCACCGGCAGCATCCAGACCACAAGCTTCGACGAGAAAGAGTAGGGTATGGGAGACGACGACGCCTCATGCCCATGTGGGCCAGTATGTGTCTCATGTCCTACTCTTCCTCGCCAGCGACTGCACCTTCACTTCCCGGGACTCACAGCCGCCGAACATGGACACAAAAGGAAACAACAAGGACTTGAAGCACAAGCACGGGCGAAATTTTAGACTAGGTGTTGCGTTGCATATAATTGTATGGATTTAAGATTTAAGAATTTGCTAATGTTGTCATGGACGTTCGTGCAATAAGGGGGCCGGATTAGCTAGATCCGGTTGTAGATGCTCTAAGTTATGATGTATCCTAAAACGTGATATGAGTTAACTGACACCTTTCCTGGGCAATGAATCTGCCCATCACGACACCAAATCTTCTTCAGATAATCATCATGAGTGTGTCTCTGAATGTAACTGGTGGTTGGAAAGCAGAAATGTTATTAAGTGCAAAAGCGCCAAAGTTTGCACATCCTGCTACATCTCGCGAGGTCGACCAAGATGATCATCTCGACTATCATATTCATCATTAATCTCAAAAAAAGACCATGAGCGTGATGGCCTTTTTCCCAACATCATCACATCTGCAAAGCTATATTTGGTCACGGTATGCGAGGGCAACACATTGATCTCCAAAGTTTCTGCATGAATTGCACTGTTGCTGCCATCTGCCCCACTGGACCACAACAGTGATAGAATTACTCAAAACAATACAGCAAAAATTTTACTAAGATTGTGACTGAGAGTAGGCCGTAGCCGCCATATGAACATCAAGGCACTAGGAGCATTCGCCAAGATAAAAATATTAGCAAAATTACACAGCGTGTAAAGTGTATTAATTTCCAACACAAAAATTCCTCTGCCTGTTCTCACTCTAAAACTCCACTAGGACCACACTAGAGGAAGAGAAAAAATTGGACGAGTGGAGCAATTTAGCAGGCAGTTACAATTAGCACAATAAGAACGAAAGCCGGATGAACAGCCAGGCAGGCCGGATGAACAATTAGCACTCAGAACGGTATTAGTGCGACTATCTTTAAGAATCTCACCCACGGTGGACTATTTATCTGCTTTTGTCAACGTTGGATGCTACGAGATGTCAACAGAACAGACAGCCAGTGCTCAAGGCTTCATACATTGCTCCAGATATTTGTCTGAACCTAATTCCTCGAGCAATCTTGCTTTGACCAACACACTGTCTTCCAGATTTTGCTGGTATTCATTTACCCTGCAAGAAATAAACACAAATCAGAACGAATTGTGCAGCGATCTTAAAAGTTACTAAGCACACATAACTACACCTAGTGATCATGGAACAAGGTATTGTCAGGGAATGTGTAGTGCCCTTCATGTTAACTAATGCAATTATACATAATGTCATTACAATGAAAAAACCATAAATAAGCAATGATGTTAAACACAACTAAATAGTTCAATGGAAAAAAGTTCAATAGCAAATAACCAAATCACCAGCAAAAGCAGCCAGCATGAAACAGTCTAACACAAAGAACCAATCCAAAATTTGACAAAAACTGTAAATGAATTGAATAATGGCGATGCCATAAAGATAGCAAAACATTGTCGTCCATGAAAATCCTCTTCAGATAACCATATCTGCAACATTCTACTATCCCAGCCCACACAACGCAAATCACCAACACAGTTCAACTCCTCTGCTCACCCTCAATCACATCCAGTTCCAGCCTGCAACCAACTCCACCCCCACCCACCCACACACCGCAACTGCTGGCCTCCGTGAGCGGGTGCCAGAACATGGCATGAAAAGAACCTGTGAATCTTCTGCCTCTGTATGACCACCCACGCCAAACTCAGATCCCCACTCTGCATGCAACTGTGCAATGCCTCGCTCTGGCCAGTTGTTGATGGGTCTTGTGGCAGTGGCTGCTTCCCTAGTTTAACGAGTCGTGACGAACTAGCTTATTATCCACCCTAATTGCAGGCTGCGATTGAGTATAGACATCAATGTTGGTGTACCAGATTACTGGAGACTTCCTGCTACAATCAGATACACGATACAAACCATATGTACTGGCAAAGCGCATTCCAAGCAAGGATTGTCGGTTCAAGCCACTCTGTTAACAGTGTATCCTTTCGCACCACACAAAAAGGGTTGGCCATGAAAGCCATAAATTCCATTTATGATTTTGACTGGCTGAAATTCTCAAATAATTCTAAAAAAAATCTTGACTGTAAAGAGTTTATTAGTATATTTATAAATAAACTGGTCCATCTTATTGATATCTTGACTAGCTCTGTTTCTCTGTTGGCAATTTTACCCATTATGGGGATCTGCATCTACCACCAACCTTCCAGTGACGACCAGTTATCAGTTTGAAACCAGTGGCTGACCATACAAATTACACGCAGGGTACCAAGCTGAATTTGAAATTTGCAAGAGAATAACATCAGAAATGAACCATACCTGTCCGACAACTCAGTATCTCTTGAGGCAAGCATCCGAACTGCCAACAAGCCTGCATTTTCAGCGTTTCCAATTGCAACAGTAGCAACAGGAATACCTTTCGGCATCTGTCAAATTGATGAGAATAAACAACACAAGAGTCAACTTCGTCCATAAGTAATCGATTAGAAATTACTCCCTCCGTTCCTAAATATAAGTCGTTCTAGAGATTTGAATATGGACTACATATGGATGAATATAGACGTATTTTAGAGTGTAGATTCACTCATTTTGCTCCGTATGTAGTCTATATTAGAATCTCTAAAAAGACTTATATTTAGGAACGGAGGGAGTAGAAGGCATCTGATGATGCAAGAAGAGAGGGCATTGATACATAGTTACAATCAACGATTATGTGATGTTTATCACAGTATCATTCTGCTTTTGAATGGTATTAAAAAGAAGACTTAAGCCCTCACCTGCACAATAGATAGGAGGGAATCCGTTCCCTGTAATGATTTAGTCCAGATGGGGACTCCAATTACAGGAAGAGTAGTCAATGAAGCCACCATGCCTGCAACAAACAGTTACAAGATTGTACTTCATTAATCATAAAAAAATCATGAATAAATCGTTCATTAGACTTCAGGCATACAGGCTTTGTTAACAGTGTCAATGTTGTGTCCATTTGATCAAGAAACACTACTTTATTTCATAAACTCCAACATACTATAACAGACACTTGATAGAATAGATAATAACACGTTACCGCTCCCCGACATTACTTGCTTTGAAAGAATAGGGCATAACAGAATACACATAATTCCACCCTAATATCTATGTTTAGAAAACAGTATGGTGAATTTAGGAGCATGTTTTTTCCCGTAAACTGACACTTGCCTGGTAAGTGAGCTGCTCCACCTGCGCCTGCAATAATGACCTCTAAGCCCCTTTCCTTAGCAGACAATGCATAAGCGTACATCCTCTCTGGTGTACGGTGTGCCGAAACAATTGTAAGCTGAAAAAACGAACAATCCATGAAGCTGCAGACGGGCCATGCCAACAGCCCATAGCTTGTCTACAGAAAGGTTTTACAAATCAAACCTCAAAAGGTATGTTGAATTTCTCCAGTACTGCTGCAGCATCTTTCATTATGGGAAGATCAGAATCCGAGCCCATTATAACCGCAGCACGAGGTCTAACTGTAATTAACACAGCATTCTAGACCTCCTCAGCAAATGGAATGAATAGAATGAGAAGACTTTCATCACCAAGAAAGGAATTAAGTAAAAGTTATTGGCAGGTGGCATATAAAAGCCTGAATAATTTCACCATGGAAAATACAAAGACATCACGAGGGTGTAACAAGTTTCAATCACTAGAATTTAGACAGACCAGATAACTTACATGCATTGAGCCATTGCCATTATTTGCCCCAGTAGTATAATTATTTGTTTTAAACTGGTTATTCACTGTTCAAATTTCATCTGCCTCCTATACTCTCTTTCCGGCATCCTAATACACTGTTGTTTCATTATTTCTAAAGTATATGAATAAAGTTTAAAAGTCATCCAAGTTAGTGCATATAGAAAACTATTGTCCCCTTCAATAAATAAATACACAGTGAAAATCTATAGTTAACAGAGATATCAAACAGAATAATCTAAGTCATGCAAACCATAAAGTACAGTACTACCTAAAGGGCATTACATCCCCCAACAGCAAGTTGAAGATAGAACAATGGTATGATATGAATAAATCTAACCTTTCTTTGGGCCATCTGTGTCTCTCTGCAGCAACCTGTCCAAATGTGCTTTTACATCGAACATAGAAGGCCCCACAATTGTAATATGACCCATCTTTCTTTGCTTCCGAATCTCTGGAAGAACAATTCTTTAAGTAATATTTTATGGCATGGGAAAGCAAAGCAGAATTGTCAACTTTCTGCAACAACAGCTAAGTGTGTGGGCTGAACCAACCTGGCTTTGCATACCAATGGACTGATGCACCTGGAATATTTAACGCCCTCTTAATCAGCTGATGGGCTAAAACAAATCCCGAATCGCCCTGTAGCAATTGGTGCTCAACATTATACAGGTAACCAGAATAATAACATGGTGACCTAAAAAATAATCAGTAACTAACATAATCTAGCAGATATTGACCTAACTATCAATGTTTAACATAGCAAAAAATGGAGGGCAAATCAACACGAAACCAAATATATATATACCTCATCCTCGCCCAGGATGTTGTACATTATTGCTGCGGGTGCTTTCATTGCAGGATCACCAAGAGGAAGTCCAAGAATAGCACGTAAATGTTGCTCATATTGTGAAGTGTAACATGCCTCGATTGTATGGTGTCCACTATTGTGAGGTCTAGGGGCTACTTCGTTCAATAAAACCTAGTAAAATTATGAACATGAGAAAGATCCAACATCACCATAGGACGATTCAATTATATAAGACATGCATAAATGTTCGAACAAACCTGATTGTCATTTGTTAAAAATAGTTCGACAGCAAAAACACCAGCACCTTCTAACGATTTGATAGCTTTTTCAGCTACACTGGTAGCTAACTTCTTCATTTTCTCAGGTATCTGAGCAGGAGCTTCAACAAGATGGCAGATGTTATCCCTGAATGTTCCAGACAAAGGCTTCATGTTTTGCAAATTTGGAGAACAGATATGCAGGACCAAAAAATAATAATCTTAACAAAAGGAATTTCTTACTTATGAATGGTTTCGACGACAGGATAACAGACTGTACAACCATCTCTGCTCCTTGCCACAATTACAGATAGCTCCTGAATGAAAGAACGACAAATAACAGAAATGCATAAGCAAAAAAACAGAAGTTGTAATACTTGTAACCCATGACAATATGATAGGCATTCAAGCAATCTGTTCTGTTATATTACTCCTATCATGGTATTCTGTAATAAATTCTACAAAAGAACAAACAAATATCTTGCAATAAACTTGCAGAACTTATCATATATTCATCTCGAGCTTGCATGTATGACACTGCCAGATGCAAGTCCACAAAGAACAAATAGCAGTATGTGCATGCAGCCAAAAATTATAAATGGTGACTACACAATATGTGACTGACTACTGCAGATCATTTGCAATGTCAACCACAAAGTTAACTTGGGTTAACTTGGAAACCCCAAAATGCAGTTCCTTAACATTCAGAAAGATACAAATTAGAGAAAATATATATAATTTACAAACACTTTTTTGCGTGTATATAACTTACAAACACTTAAAAAATACTGCAGGGCATAAAAGAGATAGTTGAGGGTTTGACCAATTTTAATGGGATTTAATTTCTTAGAAAAATAAAATCAAATAAAACTAACCTTTGCAAAAGGTGTCCACCGCTCAACATACAAGCCATGCTCAAATCCACCGAGTGCTGCAGCAATAAAGAATCAATGAAAATTAGTTTCATCGTCAGTTGATTATTTTACACGTGATTGGGCCAGTTCAGACTATGTTAAGAAACATGGGCCTCGAAATAATAGCTTAAAAAGTTTAAATGCTAGCTCGCCTTATAGCTGATTCAGCAAATCATAGAACAGCTTCTGGTTTTAGGAATTCAATTAGAAAGGATTGTGCTAAATCAGTGTTTATCAGGACACTGCTGCGGGTTTTTTTTTAATTGATTTTAAAAAATAACACGAATGTGTATCAACTTACAAGAAACAACAGAAGATAGCTCATTTTTATCATGGGCAACAGCATTCCCACGACCATCATATGCCAATCTTTTACTTTTTACCATTAAGGGATAGCCAAATATTTCCCCAGCTTTCTCTATACTACTTAAAGTATCAACCTGCAAAACACCACTACAAATTTATATCAAAACAATTACAGCTCCAATAATTTCACTAAAAGTAAACAGACAGTGGATTACTTCAACAAAGTCAGCCATCGGAATTCCAAATTTTGAGAAATGGCCTTTCTGCCTGTACTTGTCCTGCAGCAGAATAGAGTATCAATACATCAAGCATAGCATATACAAAAGGTGGAAATGCATCTGCCATGAATAGCCCATTAGATGCTAGTAGTTGTAGTATGAAGTTGTCCAAACAGTAGGACGGTTGGCACAAGAAGGGAAAGGTCACCTGAATAATCGTGATGGCAGAGGCTTTGGGTTCACAAACAACACCCTGTTTTTCAAGCTTCTCAAGTGCCACAGCATCCACATGCTCAATTTCCACAGTTAGAACATCACACCTAACATCATACAAAGGATTTGTCTAAGCAGATTGAGAAGTGAGAACGATAATGTACAGGGATGCCAGCCCCCAAAACAACCAAGCGGGATCACAGTTTCGCCTACCTCTTCGCAAACTCACGGACCGCGACACCATCATTGAAGCTCCCCACGACATGCTCGTGACAGACGGAGTTTGCCGGGCAGTCCTTGAGGGGGTCCAGGATGGCCACTTTGATCCCCATCTGACTGGCCGCCTGGCACAGCATCTTCCCCAACTGGCCGCCCCCCAGCACCCCGACGACCCTATCGGCCACGCCACGCACAGGAGGGTCGCTCTGCCTGAAACACCGCACACGCAGAAGCAGACCAATCAGGTGAAAACTCTGCAACAACGCCCAGGGGACACGGAAATCGCCAGGAATTCACCGAGCGGCGAGAACCATACGCGGCAATCGGCACGAATCGACAATCCACGAGTAGCTTACCCCTCCGTCGAAGCGGGCTCCATGGATGCGCCGGCGCGCAACAGCGAGAGAGGCGGCGGCGAGGCGGAGCTCCGGCTTGGCGGCCGCGGTTTCCAGGACGCGCGGCACGGGTGGCGGCCGGCGGAGGGGGCCGACGGGGAGGAGGTGCAGGCGGAGGCGCGGGACGGAGCGCCGAGCAGCCTGGCGTGCATGCTCCCGGAGGCGGTGGCTAGGGTTCAACCAGGGGTTTAGAGGAGGGTGAGGCGCGAGAGGTCGGAGGAGACGGCCTGGCGGCGGAAGCGGAAAGCGATGTGTCTGTAGGCTGTAGCTCGGCCGCGCCTCCTGCTAAGCAGTTGGAATCTCTCCTTTTCAGTTTATCACCATTTTGTTTATTTATTTTATTTTATTGAACGGCTAATTTTCGTTCCCACTTGAATGTAGAATCTTTCCGACAAAAAAATGCAGAATCTATTCTTTTATTTTTTTTTCGAACACAATACAAACGTAGACGCTTATACATACGCACATACATTCAATCGTATGAACGCACGCACGCTAACCTCCGAGCGATTGAGACGAAGTCGCCATAGACGCCTTCGTAGTTGACCGGAACATCTTCTCTCACTGAATGCACATCGCCAAAAGGCCTGAAATAAATCCAGAAAAATGCGAGTATCAATATCAAGTTGGGGACTTGAACTTTGGTGGGCAAGAGATACCACTGTCTTTCTAACCATCCGACAAATATGAAATCTACTTCTAATCTGGTAATACATCACTATAATTCTTGATAGAAAATGTTTTAGAAAAGAGACAACCTCACTCAAAAAGGGGGAAAGGAGATAACCTAATCTTAAATACGCTAGCTTTTGAGGATACAAACACATTAAGTTCAATAATGTTTAAACAAAAACAACATGCACATATATGAGAATCGAACCAGCTATGCATTTGTTCCTGGCAAATATAATCATAAGAAATGTATGAATAAACATGTACTACCTCCGTCCTGGTTTATTAGTCATGTGAGCTACCAGAGGTTGTATCATTTTTATTAGACCGCGGCATTTAAGCACGTCACTTTATTTTATTAGACCGCTGCATTTTTATTAGACCGTTGCATTTAAGCACGTCACTTTATTTCCTCCATCCCAGATTCCAACACTCTTCCCATGTAAGCAAGCGCATGGGGCTGCTTGATTGGATATGCATGCAGGCTACATGCGTGCAATAGCCATTGCATGCACAGAGGTAGTAAATAGGCCTAGTTAGTAGGGATGATTAGAGAGGTAATTTATTTTCAATTTCTCTACATGCATACTTTTCTTGGTCTTTGCATTTTGGCTCAAGGGCCCAATAAACCAGGACGAACATAATACACAAATAAAATGTCATTGTTACTCTCTTGCAACTCATATTTTTCACTTTATGTATAGGCTGGCCCAAAAGCCTGATGGCTGGGCAAGCCTTGGGCTATTGTTTCCCATCTAAAGCATGGCCCTCAAGCAAGAAAAACTTACAAAAATGCTAAAAATCTAACATCAGATTTCTAAGCATGGCAAATTGAACGGTTTTTTATGTCAAATTACATGCCGCAAGCATGCCAAATCTTGGCATGTATTGAACATGCCAAGATTTTGTCATGCTTCTGAAGGGATTTGTTAGGCTCGCGACACATAATTTGCCATAAAAAGTTCAATTTTCCATGTTTAAAAATCTAACATTGAATTTGTAGAGTGGTCCAAAATGTGAAATTATTCAAAAGATAAGAGCTAAAACTTTTAGTACATAACTACTAGCCTTTTG